GACTTGTGTGGAGAACAGATCATGTTTTAGGTCATATTAATGCAGAAATATTGAACATTTAAGAGTTTGCAAACTTTTAAGCACCAGTGTACATTCCAAAAAGGAGATGGAATCTGAATAAAGATGTACAGTACCAAAACTAGACCAGGAATTCTGGGAGTTGAAGTCTTAGCGTGGAGAGGGGATCCTACGCAGGAGCTGAAAAGAGGAGCACCCCACGTCTTGGACAACTGAGACCTTCCAACCTACCCATTCCCCACTGGTCGTTCCTGGGCAATTGCCACAGAGCACTCATCCACCTACCTCTGGGCATCAGACAAGGGAGCTTCGTTTTCTTCACCGGCGTCCCCAGCACTGAGCCAGCTAGAGGACAGCAGCTTGGTCCCCAGGCTTCCATCCAGCTCTCTGTCCTCTCGTATCTGCTCTCTAAGGAGGGCAAAGCCACAGGAGGGGCACAGGGTGAAATGGGAGGGGAAAGGAACAGGGGTCAGCAGTTGGGCAGCTGACCCAAACTGAAAGGCCTCCTTTTCCCAGACGTGAATCAGAGTCTACCAAACACAGAATTGTAGAGGTCATATATCCAACCCCCAGATCAGCGCAGGACCCACTAGACGTGTCCGACAGATGACCATCCCGCCTTTGTAGGAAGACCCTTAGACCACACCACTTCCTGGGGCAGTTTGTTCCATTGGGTGACAGCTTGCAGAGTCAGGAAGATGCCTTGAAGCGAAAGGGCTAGGGTTACAAGAGCATCAGCAACTGGCCTATTTCCCACGAGAAGTAACGGGAAACCTACTTATCTCCGGAAACATTATGGCGGAGCCTTCTGTAATTGCTTGCTAGGCTGCGAAATAGCAAGGAGGTGAGCTGTTTTATTCATAACAGATGAGCCTACATGTATCTATTTACAAAAACCGTCTCCAGAACCTTCGTCAGCCTGAAAACCCTCCGTTACAAGAGAGGTCCAGCCCCAACATTCAACAGGTCATTTAAAGTTGGGGAGTCAGCATGGTGCTGGCTGAGTTCATCCACTACAGTAAGCCATGGTTTATTCAAGTCCTGTTTAACCATGATCAGTTAAATAAACCATCCTATTGACTTGATTCTCACAAATCACTAAGGTAGGACTCAAACACATTGTTTGCACTGGCATAGCACGTTTGAGTGGGTCAGGTGAAGACCCTTCTTTTCACAGCTGCAACTGCACAATACATTACACTGGGTTGGTGCCATTCCTGGTGGTTATACTGTGTGATCTTTCCAGTGTTCTTCCTCTTACGGTACTGGGCTAACCCAGGTTCCGCATGCTGTGTTGATGTCCTGCACTGTGGGTAAGCTCAGTCAGTGTCAGGATGATTGAGTTAAAGATCTGGAACTTCAAACCCTCTCTAACTGTGAGATAGAGACTTGGGCAAACCAGCTGATTCACAGAGAAGCCTTCTCTATATTGCCATCTTCCCAACTTGGTGCCTTAAACACATGCCGAGGTCAAAATGGGTGCCTCAAATTCTGTTCTGGTGAGAAATATTTTATTTATTGATGGATTTAACTGACTCATGCAGACTTGTGGCGCCTTACCCAAATCCACAATAAATCAACCACAAACAGAGTTAAAAGCAATCCATCAGAATGATTGAACCACAATTAAAACATCCCCAGTAACGACACAACTAAAATGCTTATGGTTCAATAGCAGTAAAAGGACAGCCTATCCACAATAACCATAAATATCATATCACATCAACAACACTAATTACAAACATCCAAAGTGAAAACTTAATCCTGTTTAACAGGCAGCTTAATTCACACCATTCCAGTGTTTCCATCCCATCCCAAATACGTTTATTGCTTTACAGCAAGGAGAAACTAGAGGGGTGGTAGACTTACATAGAGCAGAAATAGAAGTTAAGATCTTTTCAGCTCAAAAAAGATGTTGCTGAGAATGAAGAGGAAATGAAATTATTAATGCAGAAA